TCGCGCTGGCGTCTCGGGAAAGGTTTGGGAACGACGATGGCAATTCTGGAATTTCCTGAAAAATTCAGGAAGGTTGGCAAGCCTGATATAATATGTTTGATGGGAGAGAAGGACGGAACCACACCAGAGAGCCCACCAAATATCCATCTGAGTACTGCAAACACCCGCACTAGCAAAAGAGGGTTTTTTTTTAGTTTTAGTAAACGTTTTACAGCACTTGCAACACAATAAGGTCCTATAAGTAGCGAAGATTAGAAAGTTAAAAATCACAAAAAAGGAGGAGGAGAGAGAAGAACGATAGTTTTTAATAATAGGAAAAAAGAAGCAAACCACACCAAAGCACACGTCAACCATCCACGAAAGAGAACGACTGCTGACGAAGCAAAAAACACAACAACCGTAACACAACCATCCACGAAAGAGAACGACTGCTGACGAAGCAAAAAACACAACAACCGTAACACAACCATCCACGAAAGAGAACGACTGCTGACGAAGCAAAAAACACAACAACCGTAACACAACCATCCACGAAAGAGAACTACTGCTGACGAAGCAAAAAACACAACAACCGTAACACAACCATCCACGAAAGAGAACTACTGCTGACGAAGCAAAAAACACAACAACCGTAACACAACCATCCACGAAAGAGAACTACTGCTGACGAAGCAAAAAACACAACAACCGTAACACAACCATCCACGAAAGAGAACGACTGCTGACGAAGAAAAAAACACAACAACCGTAACAGGGCGTTGATGTGACGTTTACATCGAATCAATACAACGGTGGTCACATTCTAACAGAAATATTTAGTTTTAGTTAGAGTTTTACAGCATTCGCAAGACAATAAGGTCATATGAGCGCCAGAAGATTAGAGGTGTTACAAGAGAGTAACAAACATGAAAAAGAAAGAGGGGAGATAAAGACGATAGATGTTTGATGGAAAGAAAAAGCAAACCACACCAGAGCACCTGCCAACCACCCACTCACGGAAATAGATTGGGACGTAGCTATGAAGAAAAAAAGGAGAAATGGGCTACACTGCAGACCACTATAACAAAATTCCAATGCCCAGAAGATAGGGAACCTATGACCAAAACAGACGTGTATTCTAAAAATAGACAAATTATTTGATTAAATAACGTCTTGTTGCTATCAATTTCAGTTTAGTTTTAGTAAGAGATTTACAGCACTTGCAACACAATAAGGTCATATAAGTGCCAAAGAATAGAGGTGTTACAAGAGAGTAACAATATGAAAACAAGGAGAGATCAGGACAAATATGTTTGATAAAAAGAAGGAGCAAACCACACCAGAACACCTGCAAGTCAGGAAACTTATATAGCGTCTTGTTGCTGTCAATTTCAGTGCAATAATCGCCGTCTCATATTTCCTCCCAAGCAACTGGAAACAAGCAAGCTTGAAAAACTTTGGCGGCCATTTTCTCGCTAATTATACCTCTGAAACCAGGCCACCCCTACCTCCTTCAATCGTCAATGTCTCAACTTGAACCCGAGATAAATGGATATTTTTTTCATCAAAAGCAAGGCAAAAGGACAGTAGCAAAAGGAGAGTATTTAAAATAATACTGATAAATCCACACGCCCAAAAATTGACGAGCGCCTGATTTCACCGCATCGTGACACAAATGTCTTCAGCACACGGCAATCAAACCCACATCTCGCCCAAGGAGGGGTCTAGAGTCTTAATCTATGAACTACAGATGCAGGGAAAGATAACATGGCTGTTCTCACTTATCTACAGATAGAGAAAGCAGCGCTGTTTTGTTGTAGTTTTTGTTTTAGTAAGGTTTTACTGTGCTCGTTTTGTTTTAGTAGAGGTTTTACGGTGCTCACAACTACATAAGGTCATATGAGCGCCAGAAGATTAGAGGTGTTACAAGAGAGTAACGAACATAAAAAAGAAGGAGGGGAGATAAGGACGATAGATGTTTGTTTGATAGGAAAGAAGAAGCAAACCACACCAGAGCACCCGCTAACCACCCACTTACTGCGCTTGCAACTGCATAAGGTCACATGAGCGCCAAGGGGTGGATGTCAACTCAGAAGTCGCTGCCCTTTTTAATTTCAACATACAACAATGCTCAACTGAAGCGTTCCTGGTAATGTCTTTAGCTTTGTGGACAAAGAAAAACAGAAGTTCCGGACACAACAGTACAGGTGATGGTACCCAAAATATTTTGTTTGTTTTTGTAGAGTTTTTACGGACCTTGCAACTGCAAAAGGTTATATGAGCTCCTCCAAGGGGTGGATGTCAACAGAAAAGTATTTACTACCCAAAAATGTAGTAAATTATAGTAGTTTTAGTTTTAGTAAGAGTTTTACGGTACTTGCAACACAATAAGGTAACGTAAGTGCCGAAGACTAGACGTGTTACAAGAGAGTAACAAACACAAAAAAGAAGGAGAGACAAGGACGATAGATGTTTTATATGAAAGAAGGAGCAAACCACACCAGAGCACTCGCCAACCACCCACTTAGTAAGGTTTTACAGCGCTCGCAACTGCATAAGGTCATATGAGCGCCAAGGGGTGGATGTCAACAGAAAAGTCTTTACTACCCAAAAAT